CCCCAAAACCCCAAAACCCCAAAACCCCAAAACCCCAAAACCCCGTAATCTGTGCAAAGGGTTTATATAATAAATTCCAAGAATCACTAAAATGTCTGAAGAGCTTAAAGTCTTTACCAAGGAAGAAGTTGAAAAGCACAACAGTCCACATGATTTGTGGGTTATTGTTAAAGGAAAAGGTTTGTTATTGAGCTAATTCAAGCTTCGAAGAAGTTTCAGCTAAATCAATGGTTGTTTGGCAGAGGGTTTAGCAAGATATAAATCCAAGCAATTTCCTACATGCTTAATTTCTTCGAAAATTGTGGTTCTCCATTAGTCTAGAGTCTCTTTGGACTTCTTTAACCTTGTTAAAGCAAATTGATTTAACTTCTAAATCTGGAATTCTACTCACACACCAAATTTTGAAGGATAGTTGACACTTTTGTTCGAGATTAAAAATCAAGAAGAAAGATCGTGGATAATTGGTAGAATCTGAGCTTGTTTTGTGCTTCCAAAGAGACAACCCACTCACATATTCATATATAGTGTACGACGTAACCAAATTTGAGAAACATCCAGGAGGCAAAGATCCCTTCATTGAATATGCTGGACAGGATGCCACAGATCCATTTGAGGACGAAGGCCATTCAGCAACAGCTAAAAAGCAAATGGATGACTTCCTTGTTGGAAAGCTCGAAGGAGCCTCTGATGAAGACGATGGGGAAATGGAAGAAGTTATTGATACCAACAGCGGTGAGAGAATGAGAATTAGAAAGAAAGTAAGATCTTACAGTTCTAGATCCCCACATATCCGATTTTTGGCCTTTGAAGTTAACTTATCTTAGTTAATCATTAATGCTGGTTTATAGGGTATTATTCCAGACTCTGAGCTAAAGCAACACTGTGTTAAGGGAGATTGCTGGCTTATGATTGAGGGAAGAATATACGATGTCTCTGACTTTGCTCATCCAGGAGGAAAGCAAATTTTGGTAGATAATAGTGGAAGAGATGCTACCAGAGAATTTATGGACGTATGTCATAAAGAAGCTCACTTGCATATGCCTTCCCTTTACATCGGAGACTCTGAACTTAAGAACAACAAGGTATGGAATCCAGTTGCAGATGATAACGTAGAAGAATCTAACACTCTATTCTATGTAGCCTCAGCTATTGGCATCATTGCTGTTCTGTACTTGTTGGGACTTTTGTAACGAATAAAGAAATCTTTACACCAAAATTTATTCTCCATTTTATTCAACTTTTTTAAGGCTATACGGGGTTTTGGGGTTTTGGGGTTTTGGGGTTTTGGGGTTTTGGGG